TATATATATATATCAGGGGCTATTGTAGACTGTTTTCGATAGCGTCGAAAATATACATACATATATATGTATATATATGTATACATACATACATACATACATACATACATACATATATATATATATATATATATATATATATATATATATATATATATATATATATATATATATATATATAATATAAGTCGAATAAAACATTTTTTTTCTGGTTATAAAAATACGTTTAACTCAAAATTATATTATATTATATACTATATATAATATATAAATATAATGTATTATACATAATAAGATATTTTTTTCAGGCTAAAAGCTTTCAAAGGATCCCAAACCTCAGAGACAAGTTGTGTTCAAATTAAAGAGAATGATAAAAAAAAAAAAAAAACGTTTGGGCTTAATTTTTTTGATTAAAATAAAAGAACAAATGCATACCAAGAAATATTTACTTTTTTGTTTTAATTGAAGCTCATCTTTTCTGTTTTGTTGTAGGCCAAATAGTCTTCATAATATATACCGCAATCTACAGACTTGATCCTTTATTCAAGCACGTTTTATTCCTACGAGATTTAGTACACAATGTCATTGATTTTTTTGTTTGTTTAAAAAATCGATCATGCAAACAAACAAAAAGATCAATCACGTCATATACTTAAACTAATAGGAAAAAACTATCAAGTCTGTAGATTGATTATAGTCTATAGATTGATTATATTAAGTCTATAGATTGATTATATTAAGTCTATAGATTGATTATATAAGTCTATAGATTGATTATATTAAGTCTATAGATTGATTATATCAAGTCTGTAGATTAATTATATTAAGTCTGTAGATTGATTATATTAATAATATTATTAGGCCTAAAAACAAAAAACAAGCTTCGATTAAAACAAAAAAGTTAGCATTTCTTGGTATGCATTTATTCTTTTATTTTAATTAAAAAAATTTAGCCTAAACAATTTTTTTTATCATTCTCCTTAATATGAACACAACATGTCTCAAAAAAGATTGATTTTACCTGGAAACTGGACACTAGTAAGGTCCAGTTTCCAGGTAAAATCAGGTAGATTTAAGGTCAGCATTTGGCAATGCTGACCTAACTGCCAACCTGACAGTGTCTGAAGTCAGCAATTATTTGCCAACCTCAAAATTTTAAATTTTAATTTTATTTGTTATTTCAAATAAATTAAAAACAACAAAACAAATACTTTTCTTTTAAATTTATTAAAATTCGAAATAATTAAATCAAAAACTACCAAACTTAAATTTTAAATAAAATAATTAAAATAAAAATGATTGAATGAAGGTTTTATTAAAATTCTAACTAAAATTGTTAAAATAAAAACAACAACAAAAAAAAGTTTTATTTAAAACTTTCGTTCCTTTTTTATAAACTTTTAAACAAACATCAACATTTGAAAAAAATGTTGGCAAACTCAACATTTGTTTTTCTGTAAACTCTATGCTAAAAATTTGCATTTGTTGAACTATGATCATAATGATCAAATTTAATGAAACCTAAAACCTGTTCATGAAATCAAAAACCTAAGAGTGTTTTAGGCCAGCAAAAAATTGCAGACCTTATTTTTCTAATTCCGAGGGGCTGAATCATTTCCAGCAGTTGCTATAAGCAAATTTACAAATAAATAATGAATAACATAAATTTCTTTTTACCTTTTAACTTTTTAAATTTTTTCATTAAAAAAATTAATAAACCAATAAAAAAATCTCTATAAAAAAATGATTACAAGAGTATTACTTAAAAGTATGCTTGTAAAATTATTGCATAAAAAATTGAGAACATACTCCTTAGGTTTCATAAAATATATTCACCAAAATAATGAGAACATAACTAAAAAAGACTTCAAACCTTTCTTGCTATTCCAAAAATTGATCCAATTGATACAAGGCAATCAATATTGGAGGATCCATCTAAAGGATCAAAGTAAACAATATATTTTCCATGCTTTTCTGTTTCAACCTCAATAACATTTTCATTTTCTTCAGAAACCATGGCACAAACAGTGTACGATGAACGCAACATATTTATAAACAACTCATTAGATAAAACATCTAGCTTTTGAACTTTATCGCCAGTTGTGTTCTCATGACCAGCCACTCCAAACCTAAGTTATAACCACATTAAAAAAAAATTGTTATTAAGCAACCCCTCACTAGAGTAAAAATATAATAAACTGTAACTATATGAAAATAATTACAAACAGAATGTACTTACCTAAAACTAGTCGCTACATTTTCATATTCAAAGTAATTATTTTAAATTACTTTATAATATTAGGAATAATTAAAATTTTATATACATTTTAATACAAAATTGAAGAAAAAATTTTAAACTTGTCACTACAAGTTCACAAAACTTATAAACAATTCAAATACATTTTAGTCATGCCAGCTCTTCGAACAGCAGATGATATCGCTTTAACAGCTGTTAAAATTGAATTTAAAAGATGAGTTAAGTCTCCAGAGGCATTTGGAAAATTACGTTGTTCTTGCAGTAGAAAACGATTCAATGTCATGCAGTTTGTGTCAATTGGTTCACTCATTTTTTTTCTTTAACAACAAAAATAAATTTTGTGAATAACATGTCAATTTTGTAATCAGAATTATAATCATGAAAAAAAAAACTTACTTTATCTTATGAGTAAGGAGCACAAAATAATTTTAAGATTAACCAAATATATTTTAAACTAAAATGTAATATTAATACTTTGATGTGTATAATACCCCTATAATATTTTAAAGTTACGTTACGTTTCAATCGGTTACAATTGGTAACACGGTTACATTTTCTAATTTTTAATTAAATATTAAGTAAATAAACATGATAACCCAGTAAATGTTTGTTTTATCATTGCAGTATTGGTAATTATCATCTTTTATTTTATTTTTATCGTAAATTAGCTTTGTCTAATTTTTTAATTGGTTACTTTGTCACGCAAAAAAATAAAGCTTCAATTCTCAACGTTACGCCTCAATTGTTTTTTTTTGTAACTTTTTTAAGTGTAACCAATTGAGATGTAACATAACATAAAAAAATTTAGATGAGATGTAATTATAATATATGTTATAATTATAAAAAATGTTGAAGATCACGATTCTTTGCAGAATGACATCAATGAATTTGTAAAATGGACGGATATCTGGTTGACAAGGTTGAACATTGAAAAGTGCAAGATGATGCATTTAGGTGAAAAGAATACAAGAATGAGTTATTGCATGACCCACAACGGTAAAGAGCAGAAATTAAAAACAACAGCAAAAAGATTTAGGAGTGATTATTTCATCCGACCTTAAATAGCATGATCAAGTGACTTCAACGACAGCAAAAGCGCAAAGAACTTTGGGTCTAATTAAACATACGTTTACATACTTCTATGTGGAAATGGTGAAATCACTATATACGACATTTGTGAGACCGCTTCTTGAGTTCGCTATACCTGCATGGCAGCCTTATTTACAATGGGATATTGATGAGTTAGAGAAAGTGCAAAGAAGAGCAACGAAGTTAGTTTCACAACAACAAAAGATTTCATATGAAAAAAGACTGAAAGCAATAGGTTTAACAACATTAACAGCTAGAGGAGATACAACAATACAGATTCAAGCAAAATATAGTTCAAATAAATTGGTACAAAAATCCAAAACCAGCACCATCCGTGACTAGTTCAGGCCCAGCTTTTTCTGTAGGGGGCAATAAATACAGGTTAGAAAGAGAATACACACTATCATGTTTACCGAGATATAATTTCTTTACCAATCGAGTTTGTAAAAATTGGAATTTGTTACCAAATGAAATCATTGAATCAAGATCCTTGAATGTTTTCAAAGCGCGAATAGATAAACATTTTTCATAACTTGTGTTTTTTTTAAATAGTGTGGGCTGTGAAACCTGATGCTTGCATTGCGTTTCACAATTTATTTTATTTTTAAATATATTTATAATTAAACAAATTTGTAATTGTTACAGCAATAAATATTACTATTACTATTACTAATATTCATATAATATGTCTCAAATATAGATTTTTTTAATGTTACATTACGTCTCAATTGGTTACACTTTGAAAAGTTTAAAAAAAAAGAGACGTAAAATAACATTAGAAAATCTATATTACATTTTAAATGTTTTACATCACATAACATCACAATTGGTCACACTTTTGAAGGTAATAAAACAAATAATTAGCAAATTATTTTTTTATTATTTTCAAAAGTGTAACAAATCGGAGGGTCTAGTATAATTGTTTTACTTTAGTTATGCTTTTATTTCTTGTTTATATGTTAGAAATTGTTAATATTTATGTTTGTTGTTACACTTTATCTAGATTTTTAAATTTATACCAAGTATAACATTTTATATATATATATATATATATATATATATATATATATATATATATATATATATATATATATATATATATATATATATATATATATATATATATATATATATATATATATATATATATATACATATATATATATACACACACATAACATTATAATTTTATAAGGGATAAAAAAATTATTTTGCTAACTTTAAAATAAATACTTATTCTAACCCAAAAGAAAACTACAATGCAAAAATTGAAATTGTAATCAGACTTTCACAGGAAGGTATGCAATCACACACTATTATATGACCATGCAAATAATATTTAGTTTTAACAATTTGACCACAGCTTTTAACATATTTTCAGTATTTAAAAATGCACTGAAAAAATTTACTTAGATTTAACTAAAAACTTCATTTTAAAAAAGAAATCTTAACAAAAGAGAAAATAAATAAAAATTAACCTAAACTAGAACACAAAAAACAAAAATATAACTCAACAAACTAAAACACAAGGTTATTTAAATTGTGTTTTAATTATCTTTTGGAATAATAAATTTTGAATCTTTTATCTTTACTAATGTTTATATAATATTATGGAAAACCCTTAAAATAAAGGAACATTATACTTCTAATAATTGCACTTCAGGTCTTGTTATGACGAGTTACGCAGCTCACATTTTACATACGAAATGACGATTTGGATTTGCATTTAGCAGTTTTTCTTTAAGCAGTAGCAGCAGGTGTTAAAAAAAGCATTTAAATGCATTTGATTTTAAAGAAACAGAACTTTTTATAAATATTTTTCTAATAATTTATCATAGATTATATGCGAAACCAAATAAAAAACTTTTTTCTTATAAAAAGGTAAAAGTATTTTTGTTTAAAAGAATTCTTTTCACAAACATATTTAAAACTTTTTATTTCTTATTAATTTAATATTACATAAATTTCTTTTCATATAATTTATCTATGAACATACACTATCATTACGAATATCTTATTGGTAACTGATAAAATCTATCTATAAATTGTTTATAATCATTATTTAAAATGCTACATTAAATACGTAAAAAATAAAACAAATTAATTAATTAAACACAAATATCTTATTAATAACTGATAAAATCTATCTATAAATTGTTTATAAATTTTATTTAAAATACTACATTAAATACATAAAGAATAAATTAAATCAACTAAAATAAAATAAATAAATGAATTAAATACATATTAAAAAACATTAAATACATAACTATGATAATTATGAGATATTTATAATTACTGATTAATTCTAAATTTAGAGTTCATCAGTAATTTTTATTATTAATTTTTAACACAATTTAAAATAATATTCAATTAAAAGCGGTACTTTTGAATTATGCTAATGACAAAACTATACTTTTAATGATGTAAATATCAAAGCTGTGTTAAAGTTACATGTATTAGAATTACACATTTTTTTTATGCAATAAAATCTCATACAAGTCTTCAACTACACATTAAAAACCATTTCATGCTTTGTTTAAAAATTTATACATTGTTTTTATATTAGTTTTGTTTTTTAATTTGATTCAATAGATTTCCATTTATTAAAAAAATACATAATTATATAAATAAATTCAACTAAATATAATATTAATTAATATTTTATATAAAAAAACGTAGGCATTGTTTTTATACTCCATTAAAAAATGTTTTAATAACATAAAAGCATTAAAGATCAAACGTATTTAATTGTAACAGCTTTCAAAAACATTTGTCATTTTTTATTCAACTAAATTTTTTAATATCTTTTTAAGTATATTAACTTTAACGATTCTTACATAAAGTTCATTAAAGAGACTTGCTTTGTCTAAAAAAGTTGTCATTAACACGTTCACGTTGGCGTGTACCACCGGTGGTACACACTAGACTGTCTCATTGGGCGGCGTGTACCACTGGTGGTACACACTAGACTGTCTCATTGGGCGGCGTGTACCACCGGTGGTATTAAACTAACCTAGCTGAATAAAAATGTATCTATTTTAGAAAAATATATTTTCATAATACATTTTACTGAAATAGATACATTTAAAAAAAAAGATTTAAAAAAAGTTTTTAAAATAAAGTGCAATAAATTTTTTTTAGAAATCAAAAACAGAAATAAATGGAATACAGTAAATATGTGGTCTAAATTAAAATTCTGTCAAATTCAATACTCACATAATCATTCATCAAATATAAAATTTCCTGAAATAAATATTAAGTTACTATATTGTCAGATTTTTCAAGTACAAAAAATTTCTAACTCATTCAATAGTTTGAATAATAACTTTAAAAAATATACCACATTCAATTCCAATATATATATATATATATATATATATATATATGTATAGACTTAAAGAACAATAAAAATTATGTGTTGATTGAAAACAACAAACTGATTTGTGTTTTTTTTTTCAACACTATTAGGATAATTTAACTAACAAATTTTGTTAAAATATCTAATTAAGTTAGTTTATACAATTATTTTTAATTTATTAGTAATTTTATACATAATGCATAACAAAAAATACATAAATTAAAATTATTAATAATAATAGTAAAACTTCAATAAACATTTACTAAATTCTACTAATATTAAAAATTTCAATTTGAGCCTAGTCAATTAAAATAAATTAGTAATAAATAATATAAATCAATAATCTTTACTTCCTAAACTTTTATTGTTTTTGTAAAAATAATAAATTTCTACAAAAATATAAAAACTTTTAAATAAACAATGACAAAACATAAATAAAAAAATACTAAAATTCAGTAGTCAAAACTACAATAAAAAAACTCATAAATTAAACTGTAAAGTCACCTAGCATCAAATACCGAAGGAGAAAAACTATTACATATCACTCACTAAAAGAAATAGTACAAACTTATGCATGCAGTAAACGTATTTTATAGGTGTACATTTCCTATACACCTTCAAAATACCCTTATCGTATCAAACGTAAGTTTTAGACATGCGCAATAATCCATTTAACGATCGACTTTATTGTTAAAAATAGTAAACATTAAATTGTTTTTTTTTATTTTATTTTTATTTTTTTTTTATTACAATACATTTTACATTTTCCAAATAAAAATAAAAGTAAAAAGATAAATTAAAAAAAAAAAGTTAATTACAAGTAAGAAATTCAGAATAACAAAACGAAAAAGATTGGATGATCCTGTCACCGAGAAATAATAGCTTGAAATAATAAACCGCTATGAAAACTTGTTTAGAAAAACATATAAATAAATACTGTTTTGAAAAGTAAACGACAGTTAAAATTACAATATTAGTTCATAAAAACAAAGTACAACTTTTTATAACAAAGGGTAAATATACTGATAGAGTCGATAAATAACTTGAACAATAACTTGATGTAAAATTTAAACAAACATAAATACTTTATCTATTGAAAATATTATACTTTTTAACAATTTTTTCTATAGTTATTGTCAGAATTATAGTTACAATTAGTTTTTTGTTTGAAGGAGCGATAAATACATAAGGAAAATGAATTATAAAAGGGTCCAGGTGATGAACTGTTTTTGCACTTTAACAAAATAAAACAAAGAACATAAAAAAACATTCAGCTCAACTAAATAAAGCCTGTTTATAAACACGGCCGGCGCGAATAGGTGTCACGTGAGAGGGGTGCCATTAAAACGCCGACTAAAAAAAAAAAAAGGTCCTCGTTTTTTAAAATTTGCCGACTGCCCCCGAATGCCATAACGAAATTTGCCGACTGACTGTCTAAGTTTACTGACTAACTTGTCGACAGGGTCTACATTTGCCGAATAACCAGTCAAAAAGGGTAAAAAGAAAAGAAGTTTACGATTGGGGCTGTCCATTAACTACGTCAACAAAATAGGGGGAATGGGTTTGAACTTTTTTGACAATTGTTCACAAGGAAGAGGGGGAAAGTTGGGAAGGGTTGAGGGGAATACAAATTGACGTCAACAATGTTACTTTTTTTAATAAATCAAATTACTTAAAAAAAGGAAAATTAGGCAGCGCTTGCAGTTTTACATGCTCGCTCACCCTTTTCAGTACTTTAATAAAGCTTTTTACATTTATACTTTTTTTAAAAACCGTGTTGTGCTTTAAAAAGACCCGACACATACAGAATTAAATAAGCGCACACACATATATATATATATATATATATATATATATATATATATATATATATATATATATATATATATATATATATATATATATATATATATATATATATATATATATATATATATATATATATATATATATATATATATAATCTTTGCATTTGTTACCATTATTATCATTTTAGTTATGATTATCAGTCTGATTTACACTAAAAGCAGACATTTTTAAACGAAAAAAACAAGCAAAAACAATTTCTACTGGTAGCATTTATTCCTAAGCGGATATAACTGCTTATGAGTAAAAGCAAACTTTATTCACGTTTTATTTAGCAATTAGGTTGGGTAAATAAAAAAAGCAATTGCTTTGCTCAGATATTGGTCAGTTTTACGTGATTAAAAACTTGAGGATTTTAAAATTTTATTCATGTAAAGTTATGCAATTTACTAATTAGTTGCTCGGCTTTACGTGAATAAAAACTTAACCAAAATTTCTAAACTTATTATACGTAAAGCAGACCAATTACGGAGTAAAAGCATTTGTTTTTTTTTAATCACCGGGCCTATTGCTTTTGCTTTGAACAGAAAGAAAATGAGGGGGTGGAGGGGGCGGGGTGAATCTTAAAAAGTACCGACTGGTTCCCTAAATAGAAAAAAAAAGGTCCTCAAAACTAAAATTTACCTTACTGAATTGTGTTAAATATCCAACTAGCCGACTAAATACGTAAAAAAAACCGACTTTAGCATGAAAATCACCTTTTTTTTTTAGGGATAGGGGGGGGGGGTAAATTGCCTCTGGATTTGAGCATTTACTTTTTAGCTTTTACTTTTTACTCAAAGCAATTGAGCTTGTAAGCAAAGCAAATAAGCTTGTGAGCAATTGCTTTTTTTTATTCTCCCGGCCTGTTAGCTTTAACTCTAAAGGCTGATTCAAACATGTTCAAATAAAGAAAGTTATAATTGAATAAAAATGAAATTAATTTATTATTGATTAGAAACAAATTAATAATAATTATTTACTTAAGAAAAGCGGACCTTGGCTTCTGCGTAGATCTAAAGCTTTTATTTGTTATCTTTTGATTAGACGAAGAGCCAGCAATGGCAATTAGAATATTGTTCTCTGCAATCCAATTTGTTTTAACTGCTTCACGTTTTTCAAATTTCAACTTTTTTAGTTTATCTTCTTCTAAATCAAGTTTTTCTGTCTTTCTTTTTCGTTCTTCCATAAGAAACATTTGCCACTCTATTGGATGTTTATGTTTAAGATGATATCTAACACTTGATGTAGTGCCTCTTGTAATTCCAATTATAGTGAGGTAACCACACTTGTCGCATACCATGCATTTGCCTTTGACCTTACCATTTTCAATCATTTTATCAAACCAAATCCATATTGGTGATACCATCCTACTACATATACTACAAAAAATATTATATATAAAAAAGATTACTATATATATATATATATATATATATATATATATATATATATATATATATATATATATATATATATATATATTATATATATATATATATATATATATATATATATATATATATATATCCTTATAGTGTAGTCGAAAGAGACTTTTATGGTAAAAAAAGTCTCTTTCGACTACAATTTTTATTACCTTGTCTCTTAAGCTGTATTCAAAATGTCAAAGCAATTAAATTAATGCGGAAGTACATTAAATTTTTTTTGTTTTTTAAAAAAACCGCAATAATAATGACTAGAAAGTTTTTTTTAATTAGTGGTGTTTTTGTTTTTGTTTTATTAAAAAACATTTTTAAAACATGCGTAAGTGTTGCTACATCGACTACTTATAGCCTGCTGCTACAAGGGAGTGTTACTACATCGACTATCTTAGAGCAAGGAAGTGCTGCTACATCGACTGACAAATAGCCTGACTCGCAAGGGAGTGCTGCTACATCGACTGACAAATAGCCTGACATGCAAGGGAGTGCTGCTACATCGACTGAGGGTTTGGTTTGGGCAGGCAGAATATCATTTGAAAAAAAATTTTTTTTTTTTGAAGTTTTTTAACATTTTCTGGTCAGGCTTATTAACGTGCTCTCTCTCTCTCTCTCTCTCTCTCTCTCTCTCTCTATATATATATATATATATATATATATATATATATATATATATATATATATATATATATATATATATATATTATATATATATATATATATATATATATATATATATATATATATATATATATATATATATATATATATATATATATATATATATATATATATATATATATATATATAGTATTTATTTAATTATATAAAATTTAAAAAAAAAAAATTTATAAAATTTTTTTGTGAGCCGTAAAGAGAATAGTATATAGTTGTAAGAAATTAACGAAAGAAACAGGTCCAATTTCAAATAACCGAAATTATTTGTTTCGAAAACGAAATTTTTAATATTATTAATATAAAGAAAGAACGATCAAAATTCAAGCGGAAACCAATTAAATTGAATCGTTTTTTAAAAAACAAAAAAAAAAGAAACAATTTTAAAGACTTTTTTTTTAAATCTATAAATAGCGTTTTGTTATTAATATTTTTTATTTAATTTCTATATCTGATTTTATACGCGATAGATAAATTGTAGTTTCTTTTAATAAACTTACCTAATCTTTTAATTAATTTACCATTAATTTCCCCACTCAGATTACCGTACTCAAAATAATTCCATTGATTTTGCCATTTAACATATCGTCGCATGAGAATTATAGGGTTCCATCTGCCTTGTTTTATGTTGAAAGAATTTAACAATCAAAGTTTTAAATAATAATAAATTATAAAAACAAACCACTTTTAAAATGATATATTATATATATATATATATATATATATATATTTAAGTGGTTTAATATAAAATATGTTAAATAATGAAATATAGATAACATAAACAACTTATAATTTATAATTATAATGAATAACAGATGTAAAACATGTAATAAATAAATATTGAAAGCTAAGTTCTCACAACATAAAAAAGGCAGATAGAACCTTATAATTCTAATGTGACAGTATATCGACTGATTTTGGAATGGATACACGTTAAATAATTACACGGTAGATAAAGGGCAAAAAAAATGGTTAATTAACAGTAAATAAATAGTAATCTGGGGAAGGACCATGTGCTCTAAAAAATAGAATAGGCAGACTTATTTTTTTATTTATCTAATAAGGATAATTAATAGTAATAGGTAATAGGTACTTAATATGGTAGTTCTTTCATCCGATGCTTTCTAGAATTAGCTACGTATGTTATTAAAAAGAAAAAAAGAAATAATAAACAACTGATTAGAAGTTCAAGCTTTTTACAAACAAAATAGGAAAAAGTTACCCTTATGTCAGAGTTTGCAACATTCTAAATTGAACCAAATGCAAATTTGTTAAATCAATCTTGGTTACATATTCTTTTATTAGAGAGTTCACATTTATTTGAACTAATATTATATAATGAGCACGATAAACAGAGTTTAAGCACTCATAGATAAATAAAGTTTTTTTAATGAAAGAGAATACTTAAACAATTTTTGCTCTGTACTGAACTGGTAGTATTAGAGTACTGGCAGAGTACTGGTACTGAACTAGTCTGAGTAGATGCAGCGAATTAGTTTTTTTCTGCTAATAGAATATCTTTTAATTTGCAAAAAGATGACAATGATGGATAATTGTTCAAGAATTATTTTTTAAGTAACTGAAACATTAAAATACTGAATTAACATCTCTCGACAATGGCATTTTATGTTTATAAAATATATTATATAAAATACAAATACATACCCAGCCGCATTACTACGTTGTTTCAACGTTGAAATTCGGTTGAAGCGTTGATTCAACGTTGTTCAACTATATCACAACGTTAAATCAACGTTACCGTTTAAACGTTGATTATTTAACGTTATTTCAACGTTAAATCAACGTTACAGTTTAAACGTTGATTATTTAACGTTATTTTAACGTCATTATTTCAATCATTGTTGACAAAAAACACGATATAAAATTTATGCGCGCGCAGAAATGGAAGTAAAATCGTAAACATTATTTCGGTAAGTACATGATTCCATAGCGTAAAGTTAGGGGTTAGCAGACGATCCCATGGCTCAAAAGGAGGTGAATAATTTCGTTTGCCGTAGAGTTTTTCCCATTGCTCAGAAGTAGGTAGGTTTTTTCGGAAGCCGTTGAGTTTATACATAAAAGTAAACAAAAATTGACACGAGGTTAAAGTAAATATTAGTATGGATCTATTTTCAGTTTTTAATGACGACAATTTAAGCCTGAACAGTTCTGAAGAAAGCTCTGAGGAAAGTGAAATTCTACAAGGTTATTTATTCTGTATGGATTAATTTGTTAAAAGTTGTTTAATAAATTTTCTTGATCCAAATGAGTAATAATTTCAAATTTTTCTTGTAAACATAGTATTCATTTTTTTGGAAATTTTGTTATAGGCAGGCGCAGTTTTTAGAATAAACCAGTTTAATTTAAAATTAATAATTTTTTCTTTTAGTTGCCAAATATGTTTTGACAGCATAGTCTATTTTGAATATTTTTTAAGTTTAAAAGATTGTTTGTGATTGGCATAACGTTTTTTCCATTCACCCTTGGTTAAGCCAATATATTGTTTATCAGGGTTATTTTGTGAGGAAACAATGCATTTGTAAATAATATTTTTTTATAAGTATTTGCCATTCATAGGACAGTCAATTTTTCGCTTGCAATTACAATTTTCAGTATTTTGTCTTTAAGAAATTCATTTTTATTAATTCGTGCAATATTGTGGACTTTTATGATTTCATTATTTTTTGTACACCTATAGTTTACTTTAATAGTGTTAAAAATTTTGTGCAGTTTATTAGAGGTAGGGAAATGTTTGTCTACTAATTGTTAAAAACGTTTTTCCAATATTTGTTGAAACATTTTTGCTGTATGGAGGGTTGAACCAATTATATTTCTATTTCGTTTTTTTCCACTTTTTGTTTTAATTTTTAGCTCGAAATTTTTAAATCCATTTTTTTAAGAGCAACTTTATAGGTGCATTTGGAAGAGTTAAAAACATTTTCATTAGAAGAGTTTGATTTAGTCTATTGTTAATTGAAATAAGAATTTGTTTTAACATTTGAGGGGTATGATTTGAATTTACATTTATATACGATAATTCATCATTAGGTTTTTATAAGGCCTATAAGAATTTTTGGAGAGGTTAAATGTGACATCAAAAAAATCCATAATTTTTAGATTATTGTTTATTTCGATTTGGAAGCCAATATTTTTGAGAATTTTTTATAATATTTTATCTGATTTTTTCAAGTTAAGGCCCTGATTTTTTTTTCCATTATTATCATCGCAATATAAGCCTAATTGATTAGAATGAACTATTTTAGCTAGGGAATTTTAAAAATGAATTTCTTTAAGAAATAAATACTGAAAATTGTAATTGCAAGCGAAAAATTGACTGTCCTATGAATGGAAAATGCTTATCAAAAAATATTATTTACAAATGCATTGTTTCCTCAAAAAATAACTCTCATAAAAAAAAAATTGGCTTAGCCGAGGGCGAATGAAAAAACGTTATGCCAAACACAAATAATTTTTTTAACATAAAAAATACTCAAAAGAGACTATGCTGTCAAAATATGTTTGGCAACTAAAAGAAAAAATATTAATTTTAAATTATAATAACATTTCTAATAAGTGTATACTATGTTTACAAGAAAAATTCTAAATAATTACTCATTTCGATCAAGAAAAATTTTCAAACATAAAATCTGAATTAATTTCTAAATGCAGACACGAAAATAAATACCTTTTAAAAAATTATAAAAACAAATGACCAACTAAAATTACCCTAATTCTGAAGAATTCTTTTCATGATTAATTTTTTAATTTTAATGTAGTTGATGCAACTTCCTGGTTGCAAAATAACTGCAGTTATTACATAAACAATTATATCAATTCCCAACTTCCTGTGAAATATTTTTTATATAATTTGAATTTTTTGATGTTTAGACATTCTTCCTGATGAACCAACTGAAGGTGAAACAATTTTTAGAAGCAAAAAATTAGATAAGTGTTTTTACTAATTTATTATTGCTCTGTTTTTTAAGAACATTGAGCACTCTATTTGTAGAATACACTAACATAACTTATATATATATATAATAATATATATAATATAATAATATATATATATATATTATTATATATATATATAATAATATATAATAATATATATATAATAATATATATATATATATATAATATATATATATATATATATATATATATATATATATATATATATATATATATATATATATATATATATATATATATATATATATATATATATATATATATATATATATATATATATACTGTCAAAG